TGCCAACCGCATACTGACAGGTTTCAGAGTAGCAGCCGTGTTAGTCTGTATTTGCAAAAAGAAAAGGAGGACTTGTGGCACCTTAGAGACTAACCAATTTATTTGAGCATAAGCTTTTGTGAGCTACAGCTCACTTCATCGGATGCATTCAGTGGAAAATACAGTGAGGAGATTTATACACACAGAACATTCCCTTTCACGTGTCACTTGTACTTGGAAAGAAACATACTATTCTGTACATTGCAGTTTTAAACTCTGCATTAAAACCACGTCACAGTTAGTGCCCTCAACCCACAAAAGAAGACATCGGAGTTCAGATTACTATGGTGCCTGGCTGACAGTATCATGTTGACATATTACTGGAAATACCCATGTCAAATTTCCCCACTCATGTATTTTGAACACCTTTTAAAAAAAAAATTCCCTCTCATTGCATACACAAAATGATCCTCTAACTAATTCCCCATCCACTTGTCAGATTTCATATACACAGCAGTAAAAACCTCGGAAGGGAGATCCCTAAGGAAAATAGGTGATAAAGGAAGCAGTGTTTTCATGGTGGTATTCCTTCTTCTAAGACAATGTCATGATCATATACTGAGACCTCCATCACCTTAGTATCTGAGCAACTCACAATCCCCTGGGAGTTAGGGAAGTATTATTCCATTTTACAGGTGAGGAACTGGGGAACTAAATAACTTGCCCAAGGTCACACAGAAAGTCTGTGTCGGGGGGAAATTGAAGTTGTGTCTCCCAAGTCCCAGCTTCCTGCCCTACCCATTAGACCAGCTTTCCTTTCATGCATAGAGTGAGTGGGAGTGGAACTGCTGGTGTTGCCATCTTTCAAATAAAACCTAAAACAGAACTCAGGCTCACATGTGATCACTAAATATTCTGTCATGGAACGGTGACTTTCTGCTGTTTCTCAGGTGTAAGCAGTGGCCATAAAGTGATATAGGAGCCTGGTATTTTCAGAGAGCTCGTCACTAACTTGAGAGTGTGTCAGGTGCCAGTGATGCCAAATCCAGTGCAAACTGGGAGATCTTTCTAAAAAGCAACAAAAAACCTCTTCCTGCCGACTGTATCTGTTCCAAGGCATTTCTAAGAACAATGAAGCCAACAGCATAACTGCTTCTACAAGATGTTTTCCGTAATTACCATCAGCATTTTAAAAAGGCAAAAGCATAATCTTTGTGTCTTGTGAAACATAAATTTTCCTTACAAATACATATGTATGTTTGATGTCCTCTAAACATCACACCATCCACCTTCAGTAATGCTCTGAATATGGTCCCAAGTCTACATCTTCTATATAATTCATGTAGAAGTTGATTAACCAGTGTGGCTAAAATAAGAAAATGTCTGGAGTTGTCACAAAAGCTAGGCTCAAACCTATCTGAAGACTGGTAAATATTTGGATAATTTCTCTTTTAATTTTTGGTAACCACTCAATTTCTTGGCATTGGCCAGAGAAACGGAGATGCCTCAAAGGCTCTTGAAGAGACAAGGTGAGTGAGGTAATATCATTTGTTGGACCTACTTCTGTTGGTGAGAGAGACAAAAATTTGATCTTATCTAGACACCTGAAGAAGAAATCTGTGTAAGTTTGAAAGTTTGTTTCTCTCACCAACAGAAGTTGATCCAATAAAAGATATTACCTCACCCACCTTGACTCTCTAATATCTCTTGACCAATGTGACTACAATAAGACTACATACAAAGGCGCCGACTTACCAAGGTGTCAGGGGGTGCTTGACTGCCGCTCCAGGCCCTGCTCCCCACTCCATCCCTTCTCCAAGCTCCCACCCCACCCCGCCTCTTCCCATACTGGCATAGCTAGGATAGGAAAACTGGGTGGGCTTGCAATGACGGGGGGCTGGAGGGAGGGGAGCCCACCTCCCCAGACTCCCTCCAGCCCGCCCTTACTGCTCAGCGGGCACCCAAAGATGAAGATACCTGGGGCACACAGGCTGCAGGATGTACCCATCGGAGGGAGGGAGGCCCCCACCAGGGCTTGAGCTCCCCCTGCCCCTCCAGATCCCGGCTCAGTGTCCGGCTGCCCGGCTGCATCCCTCTTCTGCTGGTGCCGCAAGCTGCTGCCCTGGTCTCTGGCCCCATTGCTAGCCCCACCCAGACCTGCCCCCACGAGGCACACTCCAGATGCTGGGGCCGGAGACCAGAGCAGCAGTGCGTGGCACCAGCAGGAGAGGGACGCGGCTGGTCAAATGGACACTGAGCCAGGGTCGGGAGTCCCAGCCTGTGGATTTGGGGGCTCCAGCCCTGATTTGGGTGGTCCTGATTGGATGCTAAGTGGGTGGGCCACGGCCCATGCGTGGCTATGCCCCCCTGCTTCTTTATGCCCCCTCCCCCACCTCTTCCTGCCCCCGTTCCTCTCCCCCCCACCCAGCGCCTCCTGTATACTGTGGAACAGCTGATCCATGGCGGGTGGGAGTCACTGGGAGGGGGAGGGAGAGGAAGAGGAAGAGGGAGGGAGAGGCGCCGACCCGTGGGGCTGCCAGTGCGTGCTGAGCACCCACTGTTTTTTTCCCCTGTAGCACCCTCAGACTCGGCGCCTATGACTGCATACATCAAAAGCTCTCAAGACAGATAAAAGTTGATGGGAGGAAGGCTGGCCTATCTAGAGGTTAGAGCCCTGCCTTGGAATGCTGTGACTGAGGTTCAATTCCTTACTCTGCCACAGAGCTTGTGTGACCTTGGGCAAGTCACTGAACCTGTGTGCCTCAGTTCCCTAGCTTTAAAATAAGGTTAATAGCACTGCCCTACTTTACAGGGGCATTGGGAGGATAAACACATTGAAAATTGTAAGATGCTCAACTACTATGTCAATGGGGGCCCATGTATGTACATAAGACAGGTGAGGCACTGCTTAAAAAAAAATACAGTTGATCTCATGGAGTGTAATGTAAGAGACTCTTTCAGAAATACCAGTCAAGGGTGCATTTAATAACCATTTTGCATTTAGTACATTTAACAAATATTGTCTTCTTGGCCTTTTAAAAATATATATATTCACAAACCACCAACTCAGATCAGTTCACATAAAGTCCAAACTGGCTGTGAAGTGTCAGGAATATAAACAAAGTCATTTGTACAGTATAGCAATATAAGAGAAAGCATTGAGAATTTTACTTCCCTAATTCAAAACAGGGTGTGGAGAATTCACATGGAGACACACAATGGATTTTTTCCCCTTGCATTCTGGTTAGGGTTATAAAATGCAGTTAGCTTTAATCTGTGATGCACCCAAAAGCCAAAGCAATGGATGCTCTGTGGGCCCGCTGTTCAGAACTGGTCTTTTATTTGTGAATGAGCAACCTTTGAGTGTGAAATCCATCTGTGTGCACTATTGTTTGCTGCACATCAGCCTGGCAGACCTGAAGTTCTTTCCCTGCTTGTCAGTTAAAACAGCAATGGCCCTTTACTGTACATAGACAAGTACTGTACAAGTGTTGTGGGTTTCCCTCGAGAACGATTTTAAGAAGTTTGAATCCTGCTGAGATTTTGATCTACCAGCTGCTTCAAAGAGGTGATTGAAGTCTCTAGGGGAATGTGCTTTTAGCTTTAAGGGAGAGCGAGAGAATATGCCCACAAGACATTTCTAAACCTGCATACCCTTTAGTTTGAATCACCCCGACAGCTTGTGGTAAAGCATGTGGTTAACTATTTCAGGTAAATAGCTTCTCTAGAAGCCACAGTCTGTTACTAGATTGTTAAAGCATTTGCCTTGTACAGTGTAAAGCTGTAGGAGCATTGAAAACGTTAAACAGTTCAGATCATTTGTACACAATGGTTCTCTTTATCTTCTTCCTCCCTTTCCTCCTGTGTGCTCACTTGCCCTCAGCTTTCATTAAGGCAGGAGGGTGCAAAGAAGGAAATGAAAATGAGGAAAGTAACAGTAGGTGACAGGGAAAGTAAAAAGGGAGCATGTGGAATATGATATTCTGCACGGGGTTTAGAAATTGTTGATCTCCATGATTTGAGGTAATGTCAGCAAGGCTCATCTTGGGAATCATGTAGGAGGCAAAAAGAATTAAAGATGGAAGGCTGTCTCGAGCTTGAGGCCCTTTCCCAACCCTTCTCCTCTGGGGGGGCTGGTGGTTGCATTATTGTTTATTGTCAGAGTTGGTGGGGACAGAAATCTCATCATAGCAACCTGTGCTATTAAAAGAGAAACAGCCACTTTCTACAATGTTTGTGTTTGTCTGTCTTCTCTGGCTCTTTCTTTATGTACCCAAGGCCCTCTGTTCACTAAACACCCCCTTTCCTGGGCAGGATTATTTCTCTAATGGCTCCATCAATTAATCACTTGCCTTCCTAACACAGCACCACATACCAAGGTAGCCCTCCAGGTACTCATAAAAAGAAAAGGAGTACTAGTGGCACCTTAGAGACTAACCAATTTAAGTCTCTAAGGTGCCACTAGTACTCCTTTTCTTTTTGTGAATACAGACTAATACGGTTGCTACTCTGAAACCTCCAGGTACTGAATCCCATCCTTGAGTGCCATAAGCTTCAGGCACCTTGAGCAATTAATGCCAAAACTTCACTGGGCCAATGCATTCATCTAACATTGGCCTTGCATTGGAGCCTGATCGTGGCTCCCCACCAGCATTAAAATGACCCATCCTAAATAATTCTAATCCCAAAAGGTTTCAAGACACAAAAACTTCTTTGCTAGTCCTCATCCATCCTCCCACCCACAATAGCCTCTGCTGGTGCAGCTCCCAGCATTGTCTTACATGCTGCCCCAAGGAGTTTATGAAGGAGCTATCAAGAAACTCAGAGAGATTATAAAGATGGATGGTATGCCCAGACCTGGAACACGGTATTTAGTTCTGCTCATCCTATCTCAAAAAGGATATAATAAAACAGAGAGAGTTCAGAGATGGGCAACAAATGCATGAGGTACTTGTTTACATAATGATGCACAATTAACATGTGGAACTCATTGTCACATGATATTAATTGAGCTTATCAGGAAGTAAAAAGAGGATCTGTCATTTATATAGGTAGAGAGACAAGCATGTGGTCCAGGCCATTGTCAGAGACAGACTGCTGGACTTGGTGGATCAGTCATTTGTGGAGGTATGGTAATTCCTATGTAGAAACATACTTTCATTTAGAATTCACCGTAATATTTTAACAAAAATCTTTTAAACAATCTAATCTCATGTAACCACTGGAAAATGAGCCAACTGAGGAAATACATTATCGCTTCTACAGGCAAACAGAAGACTGGATTCTTTGCATGAAGTATGGAGGAGAGTAATCTATCAATATTTACAGTACATCACATACACATACAGAGCATACATCATAATCTGTTTTTAAAAAGAACACACTTTATTCACACTTCAGTTTCATACAGGCCTCCAGTGGTCAGAGTGAAGGTTAAAATTTCTGTTTGTAGCTGGATTGCAGAGCTATACTTATCTTACTGGAAATGTGTGCTGTGAACACAATGGATTATGATGGAGAATTCTGCCTGGGTGTCATTTGCTGATGCCTTACATATTGATTGCCCTGCTTTTAACAGATGTGTTAGTAGTATTGTATTTAGGTTAGCAATCTTAACTTTCTCACAATGCAATTTTAAAAAAAAATTCTAAGGTTCGCTCATTACATGCAATAGATTATGAAATCAGTTCTGGCAGATATATAAATAGAGGCTAAATATCAATTGTATTTTTTAAATTATGTAGTTATTTAAATTCTCCAGGTACAGGTATACACCAGCATGTTAGAGAAATGCCACTTTTAATTTTAAAATGGCATTATTTTCAAATGAAATTCACATTTTTAGATGTCCAGACTAAAGTAAATGAATTTGTATTATCCATAGAATAATGCGAATTAGAAGCTTAATGTTTACTGGTTGTTCTGGTGGTGTACTGGTTTCTTTTTTGGCTGACACACATCTATTGAATAGGGCTGAATGAAGACTCGGCTTTCCATAAACTGCTGTTAATTGATTGATTGGTTGGTTGACGTAACTCCATTTCCTAGATTTTGAATGTTTGAGTTGGCATTTTTTGTACCTAGCAACCTTCACTGTTACATAACAGTGTTTTTGTGCTGAATGTCGTGTTTTTTTGAACTCTTAAATGACACAATTATAGATATACAGCTTATGGAGACATCAAATTAAACTTTCATTTGCTTTAGGAAATAAAATATTAAATTAATATTAAATTATTCCTGATAAATAATTCCCTTTCAGTACCAACATTTACACAGGTCAAAACCTACCAAATTTGAAAAAAGATTTGATTCTCAAGTGGCATTCTAGAAATTGTCCCAGGAAATGTGAAAAATGTCCCATAATTGCTTTTTTAATGTAATTCTTTTACAATATTTTTGACCATTGTAATTGGGAGTCACCAGTAAACAAACTGGTTGTGTATAGTTCTGTGTTTGGAGATAGTGTTATTGGATTTCATATTGCCAGGCAGTTGCAGGAGAAGCCAGCTGGGCTTCTCCCTGGCCCATGTTCACTGGGCTCCCAGAACTGTCACTCCAGCTGCCATTCCCAACTGCCGTGGAACCTTCTGGCTCGATGGTAAACAGGAGTTGGAAGAGCTTCTCCCCATGGACCTCTGAGACACGTTCGCATGGCACCATCTGCTGACTAACTAGTCTGAAAAATACCAAGGCACAACTCAAACAATGCGAAAGGCCCAAACGTTCCACCTAGAGCCCAGCCCGAATGTACAGGCTGTACCCAGAGTTATTCTGTGGAGTATGAAAGGAGGGGAATCCTTCTCTGAAGCTAAGCCACCCTTAGCACTGCAATGGCTTCTGCAAACTAACCCACACCCAGCTGTACCGTTGGAGGGAGGTCAGGAAAACCCAAACAGCAGCAGGTCCTCTATCTCAGTGGCTCTCAACCTTTCCAGACTACTGTACCCCTTTCAGAGTCTGATTTGTCTTGTGCACCCCCCAGTTACACGTCACTTAGAAACTACTTGCTTACAATTTCAGACATAACATACAAAAGTATTACAGCACACTATTACTGAAAAATGGCTGACTTTCTCATTTTTATCTTATAATTATCAAATACCTTGACCGAATATAAATATTGTACTTACATTTCAGTATATAGTATATAGAGCAGTCAGTATAATATAAACAATTCATTGTCTGTATGAAATTTTAGTTTGTACTGACTTCGCTAGTGCTTTTTATGTAGCCTGTTGTAAAACTAGGCAAATATCTAGATGAGTTGATGTACCCCCTGGAAGACCTCTGTGAACCCCGGGTTGAGAACCACTGTTCTCTGTCCTCCATAATGGCACATAAAAAGCCAGCAAGGAGCAGCCCTGCAGCACACAGGAGGTGCATGCCCCCTGCATGGCACCCCAAATCATCTCCCATCCTCCATGGAGCAGGAAAGTCCCGATTCCATTGCCAGGGCCCCCTATGCACCTTTGAAAGAGGAGGCCACTGAAGATGTTTGAGAACTCTTCTAAAAGTAGAATTTTAAATGTACCTTCCTTATAACATTTTGCAAAGAAATCCCAGGGGCTCACTATCAGGTATTAGGAGCTCTCACTTAATTGCTATTTTTGGAGACTAGATACTACAATGAGGCACATTAGTGACAGGTAGATATCTCATTAGACAATAGATAAAGCAGTATATGCTGTAAATTAAATCCTATCCCCATTGCAGAGAGAAGTAAAACCGAGTGTTATAAATGAGATGTAACCAGATCAGGCAGCAAACTAGTTTCTCTCATCTGTAAAAAAAACCCCAGGTATCCCATAGTGTTCTATATACTAATGTGAGAAGTATGGGGATAAGCAGGAAGAACCCTAAATGCTAGTAAATAAACACAACTATGACATAGTTAGCATCACAGAGACTTGGTGGGATAATACGCATGACTGGAATATTGGTATAGAAGGGTACAGCTTGCTCAGGAAGGACAGGCAGGGAAAAAAGGGAGGAGTGTTGTCTTATACACCTCTACTCCGATATAATACGGTCCAATATAACGTGAATTTGGATATAACGCAGTAAAGCAGCGCTCCGAGGAGCGGGGCTGCTTTATCTCGTTATAGCTGAATTCATGTTACCGCAAGCGGTTCCTCTGCGCCCCCCCCCTACTTGCTGCAGCCCCCCCGCCCCAGCTCACCTCTGCCTCGTCCCACAAGCGTGCCCCCTCCCTCAGGGGCTGGGGGGCACGGGGAGGGCTGCAGCAAGTAACTGGGGGAGGAGGGGGGAAGGCGCAGAGGAACCGCTCCCCACCCCAGCTCACCTCCGCTCCGCCTCCTCCCCTGAGTGCACAGCCTCCGCTTCGCTTCTCCCCCCTCTTCCTTCCTTCCAGGCTTCCCATGCCAAACGGCTGATTGGCGCGGCAAGCCTGGAAGGAAGGGAGGGAGAAGAGGAGTGGCAGCGGCGCTCTCAGGAGAGGAGGTGGCGGTGGAGCGGCGGTGAGCTGGGGCAGGGAGCGGTTCCTCTCCCTACCCCGATATAACGTGGTCTCACCTATAAGACAGTAAGATTTTTTGGTTCCTAAGGACTGTACTATATCGGGGTAGAGGTGTATATTAAAAATGTATACACTTGGACTGAGGTTGAGATGGAAATAGGAGAAAGACTTGTTGAAAGTCTCTGGGTCAGGATAAAAGGGGTAAAAAACAAGGATGATGTCATGGTAGGGGTCTACTACATACCACCTAGTTACATTATTTCCCAGTAACAGTGGCCACGTCCTTTATCTGGCTGTCTGTATCTCTATCACCTGGGAAGGTTAGATCTGAATGTTAAATCCTTCTCCCACCATCCTCTGAGTTAAAGAACTAAAGAAAGACAGAGAGAGTATTGTGCTTTGAAAAGGGAACAGATAGTTTAATTGGGATAATTAACAAAAACAGGGGAAAGGGAAGAATAAACGCATAAAACCTTAAATCAACAACAACTGTGATTGCCCCCAAAGTAGGCTTAAAGCCCAGGCCCAATACTAACTGTTGGCCAATAACCTAAATAAAACAAACTAACAAAAAGGTGCCCCAGAAACTGTACTGTTTCACGTCGCGTGATGGACGAGAATCAGATGTTGATGGTAAGTATCTGCTTCACTTGCTAGATTGCAGGACTCTGGATCTTCGACTGCTGGACCCAGACTGGCACGGGCGGAGACAGGAGGAGCACAGAGCCTTCATGGATGACTGGACCCAGGAACCACAGCAGCTGGAACCAGGGTAAGACTCGATGCTAAGAGCCTTTTTATTGTTGGAAGGATCAGGAACTGTCTAAGGATGTCTTCGATGCCCATGCAGACCTAACAGGTACTCGGCTGCCTCTCTAACGGACAGGACCTGCCGTCCGCGCGCGCAACCCTTATATAGTCTGTGAGCGTGTGAAAATTTTAAGCAGAGTCAGTTGAGTTAGTTCCATGGGTGATCATTTATTCCCAGAGTTCATTCATTAAACAGTTGCATTAAGCACCTAATTAACAACAAACATTAATTTACCCATTACAATCGTGCATATATTAAAACACAAACATATAAACTGGTAAACCATATTACAACCTAATCAGGAAGGAGAGGTGGGTGAGGCTTTTTTTAAACAACTAACACAATCATCCAAAGCCCAGGACTTGGTGGTGATGGGGGACTTCAGCTACCCAGACATATGCTGGGGAAATAATACAGGAAAGCACAGGTTATCCAACAAGTTCTTGGAATGTATTGGAGACCATTTTTTATTTCAGAAGGTGGAGAAAGCTACTAGGGGAGAGGCTGTTCTCGATTTGATTTTGACAAATAGGGAGGAACTGGTTGAGAATTTGAAAGTGGAGGGCAGCTTGGGTGAAAGTGATCATGAAATGATGAGTTCATGATTCTAAGGAATGGTAGGAGGGAGAACAGCAAAATAAATACAGTGGATTTCAAGAAGGAAGACTTTAGCAAACTCAGGGAGTTGGTAGGTAAGATCCCATGGGAAACAAGTCTAAGGGGAAAAACTATTGAAGACAGTTGGCAGTTTTTCAAAGAGACATTATTAAGGGCACAAGAGCAAACTATCCCACTGCATAGGAAAGAGAGGAAGTCTAGCAAGAGACCACCCTGGCTTAACCAGGAGATCTTCAATGATCTAAAAATTAAATAAGAGTCCTACAAAAAGTGGAAATGAGCTCAAATTACAAAAGATGAATATAAACAAACACAAGTATGGAGGGACAAAATTAGAAAAGCCAAGGCACAAAACGAGATCAAACTAGCTAGAGACATAAAGGGTAACAAGAAAACATTCTACAAATACCACTAGAAGCAAGAGGAAGATGAAGGACAGGGTAGGCCCATTACTCGATGAAGGGGGGAAAATAATAACAGAAAATGTGGAAATGGCAGAGGTGCTTAATGACTTCTTTGTTTTGGTTTTCACCAAGAAGATTGGTGGTGATTGGGCATCTAACGTAGTGAATGTCAATGAAAATGAGTTAGAATCAGAGGCTAATATAGGAAAAGAACAACTTAAAGATTACTTAGACAAGTTTGAGGTCTTCAAGTCACCATGGCCTGATGAAATGCATCCTAGGACACCCAAGGGCCTGACTGAGGAGATATCTGAGCCATTAGCGATTAACTTTGAAAAGTCATGGAAAATGGGAGAGATTCTAGAACACTGGAAAAGGGCAAATATAGTTCCAAACTATAAAAAGGGAAATAAGGACAACCCGAGGAATTACAGACCAGTCATCTTAACTTCTATACCTGGAAAGATAATGGAGCAAATAATTAAGCAATCAATTTGCAAACACCTAGCAGATAATAAGGTGAGAAGTAACAGTCAGCATGGATTTGTCAAGAACAAATGGTGTCAAACCAATCTGATAGCTTTCTTTGACAGGGTAACAAGCCTTGTGGATGGGGGGCGGGTGTAGTGGGGTGGTCACCCACTCCCTGGTCTGGAAAGGGTCATGGCCAGCTCTGGGAGAGGGCTGGAGCTGTGGGCTAAAAGCTAGGCTGATTGGGGAAGAAGCCACAGCTGGGCCATGCCCCAATCAGACCTCAGCTGTCCCTAATAAAAGGGCTATGCTCCAGGAGCTAGACATATTCTCCCTCCAGCTTCAGAGGGAGAAGGATGTAGCTGCTGGGGAATTGAGGGTGCAGGCAACCAAGCAGAGCTACGGAAAGGCGAGAGGAGCATGGGAGCTCCCGCCTGGCAACTCCCCAGGCTGCAGGCCTTGTCAAAGGCCAAACCAGGTACTGGAGTTGCAGAGGCTGCAGCCCAGGGGTTAGGCAAAGGCAGCAGGTCCAAACACCCCTTTGCCAATGATGAATGGCTTTTACACTGTAGTCTGCCCCAGTGAGCAGGGGCTAGATGGTGACTGGCAGTAGCCATAGCCTGAGGCGAGGTGGGGATAGAGGGTTGGGGGTTCCCTGGGGAGGGGAGACCCAGAGCTGTGGGGTTACTGCAGGGGGAAGAACCCTCCTGTAGAGGGGCACCGGGGTCCAGGAGGGACACGGTGGCCAGTGGCAAGCGGGACATCAGCCTACAGAGGGCGCTCTGGGGCGGCAGAGCTAATTCCCAGGAACACCAGCGGGATGCACTGTGCTGGTGAGTCACTTGCCTTGCTACAGGGGGGGAAGTGGTAGATGTGGTATATCTTGACTTTAATAAAGCTTTTGATACTGTCTTGTGTGACCTTCTCATAAACAAACAAGGGAAATGCAATCTAGATGGAGCTACTATAAGGTGGGTGCAAAACTGAACTGATTGGAAAACTATTCCCAGAGAGTAGTTATCAGTGGTTCATAGTCATGCTGGAAGGGCATAACAAGTGGGGTCCCGCAGGGATCAGTTCCGGATCTGGTTCTATTCAATATTTTCATCAGTGATTTAGATAATGGTATAGAGAGTACACTTATAAAGTTTGTGGACAATACCAAACTGGGAGGGGTTGCAAGTGTCTTGGGGCATAGGATTAAAATTCATTTCTCCAGTTTGTCCAGATCATTTTGGTCTGAAGTAAATAGAATGAAATTAAATACGGATAAATGCAAAGGAAGGAACAATCAGTTGCACACATACAAAAATGGGAAATGACTTCCTAGGAAAGAGTACTGCAGAAAGGGATCTGGGGCTCATAGTGGCCCACAAGCTAAATATGAGTCAGTGTAACACTGTCGCAAAAAAAGCGAACATCCTTCTGAGATGTATTAGAAAGAGTGTTGTAAGCGAGACACAAGAAGTAATTCTTCTGCTCTACGCTGATTAGACCTCAACTGGAGTATTGTGTCCAGTTCTGTGGGCCACATTTTAGAAAAGATGTGTACAAATTGGAGAAAGTCCAGAGAAGATCAACAAAAATTATTAAAGGTCTAGAAACATAGCCTACGAAGGAAGACTGAAAAAATTGGGTTTGTTTAGTCTGAAAAAGAGAAGACAGAGGGGACATGATAACAATTTTCAAGTACATAAAAGGTTGTTACAAGGGAGGGAGAAAAATTGTTTTCCTTACCCTCTGAGGGTAGGACAAGAAGCAATGGGCTTAAATTGCAACAAGGGAGGTTTAGGTTGGACGTTAGGAAGAACTTCCTAACTGTCAGGGTGGCTAGGCATTGGAATAAATTGCCTAGGGAGGTTGTGGAACCTCCATCACTGGGGATTTTTAAGAGCAGGTTGGACAAACACCTGCCAGGAATGGTCTAGAAGATAATACTTAGTCCTGATACGAGTGCAGGGGACTGGACTCAACGACCTCTCGAGGTCCCTTCCAGTCCTATGATTCTGTACATTAACAGTGAATAACATACAGTCTTGATAGAAAAACTATTCTTGAATAAACTGTTCTCTGTTTAAGGTCTATGTATAGCACTTGCTTGGCTCCAGTCCCCTGAGAGTTAGGGGTTAGTCCATGAACTGCAGCAGCTCTGGATCTAACACTAGAGAAATCTGGGGAATTCAAGTGCCAAATATTAGAAATAATGGGAAGGGAAGGACAGAGAAAATTTGTGCATCCAGATTCCTAAGGGAATGGGATTCTTTCTGTACAGATGCACTGGGATTACAAGTGGATTACACAGCAGATACGCCACTCTCTATCTGACCTAATCATGGCTACCCCCCGGCAACCCAACTCTCAAATTCCCCTCCCTCAGTGACCCAGATACAGCAATCAAGTACTTTATACCATGCAGTGTTGCCAACTAGTGGCCACATGTACTCATTACACTTAATGCATCCTTTATTCCTAGAGAGAGTCACAGTCAGCCTTTGCTTGACTTCCTCTGTTCTGAGGGCTTGTACACATTAGCTCTTACTTTAGTATCAATTAAGTCACTCAGGGGTGTGGAAAAGCCACCTCCTGAGCAACATAAGTTACACTGACCTAAGCGCTGGTACAGACAGCACTATGTTGGCAGGAGAAAGGTGTAGTAGACCTTTCCAAAGGAGCCCCTCTTGAGCTGGAACATAATCAGTGTGTGTGTGTCACCCTACCCATACCTGTCTTTAAAAGGAGGAACAAAGATGACAAGGGGAACTGTGGACCTGTCAGCCTAACCTGGATACCTGGAAAGATACTGGAACAATTATAGTAAACAATCAATTTGTGAACACCTGGAAGATGATAGACTTAAGGAACAGCCAGCATGGATTTATCCTGAACAAGTCATGCCACACCAACCTAATTTCCTTCTTTGACGGTGTTACTGGCCTAGTGGATAAGGGAAAGCAGTAGAAGTGAGATGTCGTGATTTTAGTAAGGCTTTTGACACAGTCCCAGATGGCATTCTCATAAGCGGACTAGGGAAATGTGGTCCAGATGAAACTACTATAAGGTGGGTGCACAACAGGTTGAAAGATGGTACCCAAATAATATTTATCAGTGGTTCTCTTTTCAAACTGGGAGGGCATTTCTAATGGGGTCCTCAGAAGTCAGTCCTGGGTCAGGTACTTTTCAATATTTTCATTGGTAATAGAGTGGAGAATATGCTTATAACATTTATTGACAACACCCAAGCTGGGAGAGGTTGCAAGCGCTTTGGAGGACAGGGTTAGAATTCAAAACAACCTTGACAAATTGGAGAAATGGTCTGAAATGAAGAGGAAAATCAATAAACACAAGGAAAAAATCAAATGCACGACTACATAATTGGGGAACAACTGGTTAGTCAGCCTCACTGCTGAGAAGGAAATGAATATGAGTCAACACTATGATGCAGCTGTGAAAAAAGACTAATATCACTCTGGGTGTATTAACAAGAGTGTTGTATATAAGACATGGGAGGTAATTGTCCTGCTCTACTTGGCACTGGTGAGATCTCACCTGGAGAACTGGGTCCAGTTCTGGGCACCACGCTTTAGGACAGATGGGGATAAATCGGAGAAAGTCCAGAGAAGACTAACAAAAATGATAAAAGGTTTAGAAAACCATCTATGAGGAAAGGTTAAAAAAGTTTAGTCTTGAGAAAAGAAGACTGAAGAGGGACTGATACCAGTCTTCAAATATGCTATGGGTTGCTATAAAGAGAACTGTGATCAATTGTCCTCCATGTCCACTAAAGGTAGGACAAGAAGTAATGGACTTAATCTACAGCAAGGGAGATTTAGGTTAGATATTAGGAAAAACTTTCAAGCTGTAAAGGTAGTTAAGCTCTAGAATAGGCTTCCAAGGGAGGTTGTGGAATCCCCATCATTGGAGGTTTTTAATAACAGGTTAGACAAACACCTGTTAGGGATGGTCTAGGTTTACTTGGTCCTGCCTCAGTGTAGCAGACTGGACTAGATGATCTCTCAAGGTCCCTTCCAGCCCTGCATGTCTCTGATTCTACATCTTAGAAGTGTAGTTTTCTAAAGCAAGGCCCCCAATCACTGCCACTTTGGGCAGGATTTTCCCAGGTCTGTTTTTTGTCTGTCTATTTAAACATGTGACACCCATTTGCAGTAATGGAACAAGTGCAATACTCTCCCTAGTTAACTAAAATCAAAGTTATTCTAAGTCCTCGAGCCATGTACTGTTGCTCTTATGCACCCTCTTTCTCTTTTCAGAAAAATGTCCCACGGTCCCCCATGTAACTGAGCTTGCTGAGTTCACAATCAAAAGGTATGTGGTAGGTAGTAATGGGCATTACATCTGTGAAGATGGGTATAAAAGGAAACCCAGGCAGAGTGGTCTTATTGACTGTAAAAATGAACCTGGGAACGTCCACTAGTTCTACAGATTCTTTCAATGTATTATTAATGGTAGGTATAAACATGGGATTCTTAATTTCCTCCTATGGAAGTACATTGATTTATGCCAACCAATTACACTTTTGCATTACTACCTTTAATTTCTTACCCACTCAAATCTCCCACTACTGTCCCACTGACTTCCACTCACAGTACAAAACCTAATATAAATAGAGATATGGACATGGACTTAACATAGGAACATAGTACTAGAGCTCACCTCCCAACTCACCAGCTCCAGTTCCCTGCTATCACAGGCAACTCCATCATATAATCCTGTTCATACATTTATCATCAGCTGAGACAAAGTATTTAACAAACCTACATAGTTATTTAGACATTACCTGCAAACCTATAGAAACTCAACAATGCTGGGCTAGTGCGTGAGAATCAGAAAGAGAAACTCTCCAGTCTAGTTTCACTCTCCAAGCTGAATGAAATTGAAAGAGTGAAAGCAAACCACATAGAAACTAGACTGATAGGGATTCATAAGATACTGGCTAAAGTATTATCCTATTAAAAGTAACAGATGAGTCGCTACTACCCTCCCATTCTGGACATCTGTCATAAATATAAAGGGAAGGGTAAACCCCTTTAAAATCCCTCCTGGCCAGAGGAAAAATCCTCTTACCTGTAAAGGGTTAAGAAGCTAGGATAATCTCGCTGGCACCTGACCAAAATGACCAACGAGGAGACAAGATACTTTCAAAAGCTGGGGGCGGGAAAAACAAAGTATCTGTCTGGGTGATGCTTTTGCCGGGGACAGAACAGGAATGGAGTCTTAGAATTTAGTAAGTAATCTAGCTAGATATGCGTTAGATTATGATTTCTTTAAATGGCTGAGAAATTAAGTTGTGCTGAATAGAATGAATATTCCTGTCTCTGTGTCTTTTAGTAACTTAAGGTTTTGCCTAGAGGGATTCTTTATGTTTTGAATCTAATTACCCTGTAAGGTATTTGTCATCCTGATTTTACAGAGGTGATTCTTTTTTACTTCTATTAAAATCCTTCTTTTCAGAAACTGAATGCTTTTTCATTGTTAAGATCCAAGGGTTTGGGTCTGTGTTCACCTATGCAAATTGGTGAGGATTTTTACCAAACCTTCCTCAGGAAGTGGGGTGCAAGGGTTGGGAGGATTTTGGGGGGAAAGACATTTCCAAACAACGCTTTCCTTATAAATAAACCCAGATAAACGTTTGGTGGTGGCAGTGGAAGTCCAAGGGCAAAGGGTAAAATAGTTTGTACCTTGGGGAAGTTTTAACCTAAGCTGGTAAAAGTAAGATTAGGAGGTTTTCATGCAGGTCCCCACATCTGTACCCTAGAGTTCAGAGTGGGGGAGGAACCTTGACAACATCCTTGAACATTGGGGTAGTTTGCATCTGAATCTATAACCAAACTTCTGCTTAATCAATCAATCTAGGCATTTTTACCATGCTCATCATCGTGTCTGAGCAGTTTGAGATGCAGGCCAAGCTCTGAAATTACAGGATAATAGGAAAATTTCTGAATGGAATTATCTATTCATTAGAGATATTTATATTTACTATTTATTTTCTTAGGACTGACTGTGAGTTTTGCAGTGTAATGAGTGTAAAGACACTATTCCTGTTCCGTGGAGCTAATATTTCTAAAATCATACTAATCAATTCAACCTAACCAATAATGCACCAGAAATCCCTCTTGACCTGCTTCACCAGGGCTCATATTCTTATTAGTGTACAGGCTAGTTGCTACAGGCGAGTCGTCTAGCTTGGTCTACTGTACTGGCACAGGAAAAAGCATGGCCTCCATGTAGGACACACTCTGTTCCTGTTTACACCAACAGGGTGAATTCAGTGGGACTGCACAGACATAAGTGAGGATGTCATCAAGACCAGTATCTGGAAAGTCATAGATCATGTATATTACCAAGGATATCACAGTGTTAGCTGCCCCCACTGAATGCAGCCAACTTAAGTTCACACTTCAGTGCAATGCTTTTTCTGCTTATTTTTCATTTGCTCATATCTTTTTTCGGCTGCTTGGGTTTATTCTCTTCAGGCCACAGTAGCCACCTCACACCTCTTGACCTATTTAGCAGCTGTTTGGACATTTGTTTTGATGTTTGCCTGGGGACCATTAGCAATGAGGCAAGGGGATTTTATCAACAGGTCTTTCTCCAACACCTTGACCCCATCACATGGTCATTCTGGTTTAAAACACCCTCTCTCCTGGTGCAACCACAAAAGCTATTTTTTGAATATTTCAAGTTAATCTAGCTCTGATCTGGTACAGAGAACATGACACTGTCCCTGTGATACAAACCTAAAAACACATGAACACATTTAGTTGTGAAACTGTTGCTCTTCCAACAAACTAAAAGGGAGGATTTAGCTAAAAAATAAAAAACAAAAATCAGGAAAATTTCCCAGTGCTGAGATGCAGGGTATTAGGCTATGGAATAGTTTCCCTAGAGCCATAGGAAAGCCCTGTTTCCTGAGACTGTTAAACAAGACTGGACAAGACATACGAGCATGTTCTACAGAGAGTAATTCTGCATTGACCAGGGTTGGGCTCAGAGCTTAATTTGTAATGAAAGAGATGCTGGGGCTCAAGCAATGTTTTTACATTCATAACTGATGCAACAAGCCCAGAGGTGCCGGGGCTCAGGCCTGGCAAACGCGGGCACAAATTTAAAACCTGGCTGGACTGGAAAATCAAATGGAGCTTTCCCATTCCTAACTCCTACGATTCTATAAAATATCATCTTGTCTGACAGAAGAGATGAAACAATCTTCTCCACAGGGGATCACAGATCTACTCTGCCCAGGCCTTCATGTCAGTCAGAAAAAGAACAAGGAGCAGAGTTACTGAGAACCCAGTAGCCATGGTCCAGTCTGACATGAAAAGTAAAATAAGTACTAATCATTAATTACTGTAACATTTCGTCCACTGACTTCCACAGGAGCAGAGAAAGGCCAGTGATGAGTGCTTTCAAAAATCCTACCCTTTAGTGTTTTGTATTAGACAATATTTTGTAATCATTGATTCAGAACCAGTTGCTCCTATGTGAGCTAATGGCAGTATTTTTATATCACCCCGAATAATTGGGAGTGTCTGGTTTTCCCCGCACAGGCACATTTTGTGTCAGTGCAAATTGCACTGATCTGATAATAGCCACAGTGGGGTACAAGTAGTATCTAGATAACTGCCTGCCTCCTTTGGATCTCTTAGGTTATTGTGGGATGCCCAGGCCCATGCAACATGCCAGAGCTATCGTGACAGGATATCCCATGGAGCAGGAACTGCATTTTAAGTGTCTGAGTGGTTATAATGCTTGAACGACACCAGCATATGTAAGGATGACAGTGGGGAGATCTGGACTGAGGTAAATCTGCAGTGCATTAATGACAGCAAGCATGGAGAAGAGTCAACACAGCAGAGTCCCCCAACAGGTGTGAGGGGGTGCACTGGTACTGACTAGCCCCTGATGAATGAGGTGTTCGCTACTTTTCCCCTACCCCTTATATAGGCGCTAGGCTCTCGGAGCGGAGTGACTGCTGTGGAGAAGGTTGAGCTCCATGTCCGGGGTCAGTGGATTGGATTGAATCCCAAGCCAGGAAGATCTGTTTCCTTGCTGATTATATGACATACTTTTATTTTACTTGTTATAAAAACTGACCCTTAAAGGAAACGCCTTGTTGGCTATAGCTGTGGTATTGCTGCCAAATCATTCCATGGACTTTTGCAGGGCCTTTCAGATGGGAAATCTGCATCAGGAGTGTCCATTCCACGGACAGTATCCCAGGCACATGGCCAAGGAATACTCAACAAACCCAATTACTAAAGTAACAACAGGACTCTTGTATCTCAATCCCTGAGACACCCAGAGCACCACTTCGTAAATCACTCCCTGAGCTGTCAGCTTCTTGCCCGAGGCAGGAAGGGATTACCACAAAGGGACTCAGACATGCCAACTAGTGGCTAGACAATGGAGCTGACTTAGTTAGTTAGTTCTCAGAGTCCCTCATCAAGCAACAGGACTTGCTATGTGTGCACTTCCCATACGTTATCTCTGGCAAGTCTCAGAATGGGTGTTTTGTGGATGTAGACAGCATTAGGTGAGGTTCTTGGCCTGTGTTATGCAGGAGGTCAGACTAGATGATCATAATGGTCCCTTCTGGCTTTAAAAATCTAAGGATCTATAAAAACTCTATGAGGTGAGTTAGAAAGTATCTTCTTCCTATGCAAGGAAATAGGAACCATGCTAAGCCTGTCTCAGCTGGAAGTGCCTCACTGCATATCTTAAAGGATGATATTTAAAACAACTGGCTACCAAAGCATTCAAAAAATTAGGAGCTGAATACGACAGATGATGCAAAGAAAGAATTACGTCTTCCACTGTCACCAGGTAGAAAGAAAACCACATCCATTTGGCACTCAGGGGAGCTCTGTGTAACTTCAGTGAGAAGCAGGGGGTCCAGAGTCGCAGTTCTCCATGTCAGCTTGGCCCACAGTCCCAGAATACCTGGATGTTTTTGCTAAAATATTTGGCAGAGAAATAGTTAACAATATTGCTATTTAAAGCCCAGTTCTGCTCCCTCTGAAGTCCATGTGACAAATCTAGTCTTTAATTAAAGTGTCTCTCTGGGAGAGCTCTCACAGCACTGCTCTCTATGGACTAGAGGCAGGTGGCAGTTTAAAAAACCTAATGTCATTGACTAACAGTAGTCGCGATGGGTCATATAATTGAGCTGGGGTCTGGCTGGAATTCCAGCAGGTGCTACAAAACAGATTTCTCCATCCTTGTGCAGTAGATGCACTACAAAGCAGATGAGACAAACAAACAATCTGCTTATCTTGGGTTGAGATCTCCAAAGCCACCTTTTTTAGCCACAGATAAAAGCTACAGGAATAGAAAGACATTGCTCTGTCTCATTAAAGTCAGTAAAACAAGAATATTTCTCTCTTTTTAGGTGTAATTTTCCATCTCTGATGCTTCCTGTAACAGGTACCCTGGAAATTCTTCATTAATGGAGTTAACTCTTCCTTCACAAAAGTGGGCTTCGGTTTTAAATTAGTGAACTCTCCTCAAGAGAATCAACACAACCATGCATTTGAAATAGTGGGTTTTTTACCCATGAAAGCTTATGCCCAAATAAATCTGTTAGTCTTTAAGGTACCACCGGACTCCTCGTTTTTGTGGATACAGACTAACACGGCTACCCCTATTCATTAACCAGGGTTAATGAATGTTTTGCAAAACAATCATTCTCTACTAATATGTGACAAACGTAAATTCCCAGGAGGGAGATGAGTTGCTTAGGGGAGTCATGGGGGCGGTAACGAGGAGTAAATAGGAAGCTACTAAGAGAAGGAAATGAACAGCACCACAGATGTTTACCATGGCAGGAGCATTGGTATTCCAGAATTATTTTGCCATCACTCATCCATGAGCTGGATACTGTCCCAATGAATTTAGTGAGAATTTTGTGATTGACTTTAATGAGAGCCAGATCAGACCTCTGGATCTCTCTGATCTTTTTGGTCTCTCTGACCTATCCATCTGAGCTCTGCCAGAGTAAAGAGCATTGCAGTGGTGCTGAGATATTACTATGCCCCTCTTTATGGGCTAGAATGTTAGTTCATATCCCACTTCCAACAACTATTTCTCTAAATGAACTTTAGGGAAACCTTCTTTCCTTTAGAACTGTAGTAATCACTCTGGTATTACAGACAAAGCCATCTGCTACCAGCTTTGATTTTTGGGGTCTTAATAGCTTCTGTCACTACTGCCTTCCTGATTATTGTCTTCATTTAGGGTGGATCATTGTAAAGAAACAATAGCAAGCAGCACTGCATCAGGGTTTTGCAGCATCCCATTCTGTCACCCCTCTTGCGAACTGGGTTTGTGGGGCTGTTGAGGGAGAGGTAGTCAGGAAATATGGCTTGCAAGTCTTCGGTACCCAGCTCTATATTTCCATCTCTTCTAACCCTGAAGATACAGTGGGCCTCTTGCACTGCGTCAAAGGAAATTGAGGCACTGATAACAGCTAACTGGCAATGCTCAACCCAGATAAGGCAGAGATAGTAGTTATAGGATGGAGGAAACAAGATACTATATCAGAGTCCCTTATAAATGTCCATCTCTTTTCCACCCAAGGCTTGTAGTCTGATATCCCTAGCTGTTAGTGGATTTTCAGGTGATAGTGGCTGCCATATGCCCCTCTTATAACCTGAATTTGGCAAGGAGGAGTGTCCTCTGCTTTTGGAGGAGATATATGGCCAGTTCTCCATGCTTTTGACATCTTAAGGTTAGATTTCTGCAGTGTGATCTGCAAAGGGCTGCATCATCAAGTCATTTGAAAATTGCAGCCAGGACTGCATTCCATGGGTAGTCTCATCCAGAAAGCTTGTTGCCCCAGTGAACCATTCTCTGCACTGGCTACTAACTGATTTCCAGTTTAGATAAAAGATAAATATTATCACTTTCAAATTCCTTTATTTAAAAAAAACAAACATGGAATTGATCACAAACCCCATCTCCTTTTTTCCCCTCTATAAAGAGACTTTCAGTGAACTGTTGCATTCTAACCCAGGCCTGTGATTTTAATAATAGAATCACAGAAATGCAGGGCTGGAAAGGACCTCAAGAAGTCATCAAGTCCCCCATGCTGTGGCAGGACTAAGTAAACCCTAGACCATCCCTGACAGGTGTTTGTCCAACCTGTTATTAAAAACCTCCAATGATGGGGATTCCACAACCTCCCTTGGAAACCTATTCCAGAGCTTAACTACCCCTTTAGTTTGAAAGTTTTTCATAATATCTAACCTAAATCTCCCTTGCTGCAGATTAAGCCCATTATCTCTTGTCCTGCCTTCAGTGGACATGGAGGACAATTGATAAGTCCTTTTTATAGCAACCCTTAATATAGTTGTAGACTTGTTATCAGCTCCCTCTTCAGTCTTTTCTTAAGACTAAACATGCCCCCCCTCTTTTTTTTTAAACTTTTCGTTTTCATAGGTCAGGTTTTTTAAACTTTATCATTTTTGTTACTCTTCTCTGGACTCTCTCCAATTTGTCCACATGTTTTCTAAAGTGTGGTGCACAGAATTGGACCCAGTTCTCCAGCTGAGGCCTCACCACTGCTGAGTCGAGCGGGACAATTACTTCCCAGATCTTACATACAACACTCCTGTTAATACACTGCAGAGTGATATTAGTCTTTTTCGCAGCTGTGTCATACTGTTGACTCATATTCAATTTGTGATTCACTATAACTCCCCATATCCTTTTCAGCAGTGACTAGCCAGTTATTCCCCAATTTTGTAGTTGAGCATTTGCTTTTTCCTTCCTAAGTGAAGTACTTTGCGCTTTTCTTTGTTGAATTTCATCTCACGGATTTCAGACCAATTCTCCAATTTGTCAATGTTGCTTTGAATTCTAACCCTGTCCTCCAAAGTACTGATAGTCTATTGCTGCAGGAGGAGATGTACTGAAAACAGAGACTGAGGGGATGAGTCAGATCTCAGCAGCAGCTGCAAGAGCAGACATGGAGGACAAGGAGAAACAAATCCAGACTAAAATTCACCATGTGAAGGAGGCAGCAGATATTCCCCTTTAATATTTGGGCTGGTTTGCTAGAAGTGAGATATCTAAGCTTTTAGATCTAGGGAGGGATATATGGAATAAGGGCCAGAGGGTGTGCACATAATTGTCATTAACAAAGAAATGCATTCACTTTAATTTCAGGTGGTTACTATGTATCTATTCAGAGGAATTTTATAGTTAAACCATCTGAACGATTAAAAGTATTAACATTAAATTAAAAGTGTCTCTGCACCCAGGCCCTACTAGCCTTGGGGACACTCTATAGCAGTTGCTCCAGAATAATAGAGTGCATGACCTCCCCAATTCCTCAGTCATCTGGCCGCAGCCATCCAGTGGCCCAGTCTCATAATTTTTGGGCAAAGGCCCTTAGTAGCATCCCCTCTGACCACCATGCCATTCGAAACCTCTGCATGACCTTTCTGTAGGCAGCCCAATTCGATCTAGGATGCCTGCTTTTATGATATAATCAGCTGTGTTTGCCTCACTCAATGCCATATATGCGGTTTGGTCTTCTCCCAAGAGGTGGGGAGCCAAGCAGAGGGCCAAAGCCTCTTCTCCCAGCCTGCTCCTGATGCTACCCTCTCAAATGTTAATCAAAAGGCACCAGGGTCATCCATCAGGCTGATTTTGCACTGTTCTATGCCCACTACCCAGTTATCATCCCCTCCCAGGGGACTTACCAGCTTCTCCATGGACTTTTTGCTGTCCCTGTTCCTAGCCTGTACTAAATTTCTGGATTCTGTTCTGCCTGCCAGGATAACAGGATCTGTTTCCTCTTGTCACTGGGTCTGCTGAAACTCTTGGAGGGTTTTCTTTAATTCCCGCTGCTCCACTATCCAGCACATGAGTTCCTCTGTGCTGCCCAGCCCACTGGACCTTCTTGTCAGTGCCACTCTCCGGTCTTTCTCCTACACTTGGACACGTCCCCACTTTGTCACAGGGCAGGGTTCTCTCACGCTGCATTCCTCTCTGCAAACAGTCCTCATGCACACACGTTCAACACCAAGTGCTCTATTTACAGCATGCTACGCAAGTCCGTGTCCACCCACAACATAAGGCTTTTACCTTCTCTGTGGGCACAGGATGAGAGAGCTCTCACCTGCCTGAGATTTTGGGCTTCTCCTTCCTTCCTCCCTCCCTCTTCCTGTGTGTCTTTTAACTGACCTCAGCTGATGAGCTGAATTACCTTGTTAATAGGTTAATCATCCAGTCCTTAACCAAATATCTACTCAGTTTGGCCCATGTGGGGATGCTTGTCAAGTGCACTGAAGAATGAATCCATTCACACTCTGTCAGACCTCCGCAGTCCTATCTATCCACTGGGATCTGGAGAGCACAGCATATCACACATTATTCTCCAGATTTGGTCCAGAAACAATACTTTTCTTCTCCCATCCCACTGTCCCACAACGAGGAAGAAAACCCACTGGTCCCAAACCACCCTTTCTATGTGGACAGGAAATCCCATTATCTTATTCTTATTTCCCAGTGTGGATGTAAACAGGAAGCAGACAATGGATCTTACACTTTACCAATCCTCCAGTCTGTTCACTCACCCCAACCCATGGAATTGGGGAATTAGACCCATCATGTATTTTGTAATTATTTATAGGTCAGACTTTGAAGATGTTATTTAGAATGCAAGTAGAGAGAGAGAATGGGACTGTGGAAAAGGCACTGGGCTGGGACGCGGAGCTCTGTCTTCAGCTCTGCCACAGACTCCCTGTATAATCTTGGACAAGTCACCTACTCTCTGTGCTTTAATCCCCTGACTATAAATCGGGGATAATAGCACTTTTGTACAGTGCATTGCAGGATGGGGCCATGATCTTGGCTGGGAGCTCTAGATGCTACCATAATACAACCCCCACCCCAAACCAATATTTATCCCTCTTTGACAGTCTCCACACTAAATAATTATTTTTAAGACTTGTTTGCAGTACAAGTGACAAAGTGATTACATGCTCTGAAAAAGTGATTGTGGAAATAGCACGTCCTTACCCATCAGATTTGCTCCCTGTTTGTATTTCAGCCACATCTGCCGGCTTTATTGACAAAAACACTTTTCTCCTGCTTTTTATACCTGGCAGGGACAACACAGGTATGGTAAAAGTGAGCTGGAATCTGTTCCTTTGGTGCATCCAGAGAATTGTTTACCAAGTTCCAATCAGTTACATTGCTGCAGATCCATTGAAGGAGGACACATTTGCTGGTGCTCTTGAGGGAAGGAGAACTCCAGCCAAGAAAGAGTCAAAGGAGGATGAAGGGGACAGCCTGTATTCAGGAATAGGCAAGGGCTCAGCGTTAATGTTCAGTGTACAGAGAAAGTTGTGGTCTCCCTCTAGAATGGAGCCACAGAAAGACTTGGGGTTGCCAGTGTAGGCACAAGAGGGCCCAAATGACCTCAGTGTCATGGTCTCTCTCTCTCTTGCTTCTTTTTCTTATTCTCTCTCTTTCATTGCATCAGTCCTCTTCCCACAATACCATTCTCTACATTAGACTTCCTCCTCTCTCTGTAAAGCTCC